CCTCTAAAATTGTTTTCATTTCAATTGCGAAGTAAACCTCTTCACTTGTCTCATGCAAGTAGTCAGTACTTCCTCTTCCAATTCACTTATTGAAGCTTTAAAAGATACAGTGTGAGTTTTGTACAGAGTAATATCACTTCTTAGGAATATTGTGACAATAGGTCTTACTCACCGATATTAAAAGGTCAATGACTGAAACCCCATTCCAATAATCAGGAAATAAAGAATTAGAGAAGCTAAACATTTAAATAAGTCAATTTATCTACCACAGATTGAGCTCGGTTTTGCACGTCAGTTAATAGTTGAATATAATTCAAAAGAAATGGAATAAAGAAATGCATGGATGAATGGAAGATAGAATGGAAGTCTTTTTTACAAAAATAATTCGCAGATGGTTTGTTCAAATCAGTGATTGTACAGGACAGTATTAACAAAAACATCCAATACTAAAATATCTAAAATATATAAAAATATAACACATCAGCTAAAACCTTCACAGCTGAACCAAAAATATTTACTACAAGACTTTCTTAGGAGCACCGCAGAACTATAAAAAAAAAATACATTTAATTTTTTCTTCAATTTGTGCAGAAGATTTTCTGTGAAATACTTTCAATATTAAAAAAATTTAAAGGTGCTGATAAAATATAAAAACCAATTAATGTTAAATAAAAACATTTTTTTAAAATTGCTTCCAAAAGCTTATGTTAACAGAAATATTTTAACAGAATAAAATGCATGTACAGCACTGGAGTGCTAACCAACAATAGATGGCGCACTTTCCTAATAAATGAGAAAAATGACCTAAATCTAAAATATTATACAATTTATTTTTATTTTATCTAAAATTAATCATTTTCAACAAAAAAAAAATTCATGAATTTGTGCTTATATACAAATATCTTGAATAAAATATTGTGTGTGAAAAATATATTCACAAAACATAAAAAAATCGAATAATTTTTAATTGCATACTTTTAGGGTGCAGATTTGTAATCGTTAAATAGAAAGTAACGATTTTTTAAATCAAATTTATTTTTAATATTTAACACTGAAATATTAGTAATAAATATCTAAAATATACGTGTTAAATTTTAGAAACTACTTATGATTTTTTTAACACCCAATGTACACAAAATGTATGATCATGTTTGAATGTAAGTAAATGTCAAGATCACTAAAAATAAAGTCAACTAAACTTTTAATAAAATTTGATTTTCTCAAAATTAATTTAAATCAATTTTGACTCGAATGTCAATGACACAAGAACTACCATGAATATATTTCATTATTTATTCAACTTAAAATATTTTCTAAAATATATGAATAGTGTGTTCGTTTGTTCGATATTTTATTACTCATACATAAAAGCGTAGGAATAGGAATAAACGGGGTACCTGCTCTCGAAGGAGCGAAGCACTGCGACCATGGTTGATATTTTGTGCTGCAACAGATCCTAACCGAACAAAAAACATTCCACCTTCCGATGGACAGCCAAAATGTTGGCCGTTGAGGACCTCCTAATGTCAGAAAGGTAGAACAGCTCCCGATCCAGTGACCTCCTCTTGGCCTAGATCAAGGCTGGGCAGTTACAGAGAATGTGACTGAAAGTCGTGTCTGCTTCTAAACAGAGTCAACAATCCATCTCTTTAGGCAAACCCATTTTGCTAAGGTAATAAAGCAGTTCATGGTGACCCGTTAAATATCCCACTACCAACCTCAATTCTGTTCTGCTGAAGAAGGATACCTTACCATAACTGTAGAGATGAAACAGCTTTTTAGCCTGACGATTATATGGAATGTCGTGCCAGTAGTGACTTCTTTAGGCTGAAAACTATTTATCAATCAGAGACCTAGTTATAGACCAACTTAATCCACAATATGACTCCGGTCCATAGATTTGAATGGCGGATCCTGACCTCGCAAGACTTTCAGGAGGACAGAAGGGCAGACATAAAAGCGTAAAACTTTACTTAAAAAGTCTGAGAACATTATCTGATTTAATAAACTTAACTCATGTCCTTATTCATTTTAATTATTTATTTTAATCATTTTTATTTTTTGATTTAAATTCGAAATACACAGATACATTTTTATTAACATTTTCCATAAATATATTTTCAATTTTTTTAAATTTCTTGAAAGCATGCTTATAAGGATTGTTTTGGGGTTTGCACACAGACTCAGCATTGCAAGGCTTTATTTAAATTTTAAATATTATTTAAACATATGTAAATATTTTTTTTTCTATTTACTTATATCTATAAATACTTTTATAAAAAATTGTAAACTTTTTAAAAAATCAAATTGGCTTGTTGTATTTTTTTTAATGTACTCGTAATATAAATAACTAGAAGTAAATAAAAAACTATAAAAATAAATATTAATCATTATACGTTTATATATGTATGTATTGATTTACCAAAAATTAAATTTTTAATTTATTTTTAATATTTAATTTTAAAAATATGTATAAGATATTATGTTATAAAGACATAGTTTATAAACATAAGAATTCACATAATATTATTGTTTTATATACTTCAGGTGGTTCGATTAAATTTTTTTCAAATATTTGTTTTATAATAATTAAAAAAAAAATATAATTTAAATAGTAAATTATTTAATTAATTTAATTAATTTAAATTAATTTAATAGGTTTGGGAGTTTTATATAGAGCACTTCAAGGTTTTATAAATGTAACTACCTCGACGTATTTTTGAATTCAGTGTATACTGCAGGGACGAATAGACAATAGAGCTGGAATCTTAAAAGTCCACTTCTACTTTAACCTCAATTGACAAGTGTGAACTAACACTAAGAACATGATCTAGCTTCTTAACAAAATAGAAAGTTTATAAGTTTTATAAAGAGGACAAAAGACAGATCTATTCCATCTTTTTAACAAAAAAGAAAGCTTGTAAGCCTTACAAGAAGGACTAAAGACGGAACTATATTCGCAGTAAACTACATTTTTTGAATGTAATCCTTTCTGGAATCTGAAATTAACTAATTTTGTCTTTTTATTTAGAGTAATTGCAATAAATTAAAATAGAGTATAAAAGGTAATAAATTATTATAATATACAGTATAATGTTTAATAATAATGATAATATATATAATATAATATTATTATATATTATAAATAATAATATATATAATTCAACAGTTATCACATCATCTAAGAGAAATGACGTGGAGTCACTTCTAAATCATCATCTGAAGAGATAGTAGCACAGATTAAGATCTTTAGGTAGGTAAGTTTCAGGTGAGATGTCTCTATATATCTTTAAATCATGGGATACATAATATCAGACGTATTCATATGCTCTTAGGTTAATACTCTTCTCTTGTCTCCAAAGCAAAGTGAACCAGTCACAAAAAGTCAACAGAAATTACATCATCTATAGAGAAGTGACAAGGGTCACTTGTGGATCATCATCTGAAGAGATAGTAGCACAGATTAAGATCTTTAGCTAGGTAAGTTTCAGGTGAGATGTCTCTATATATTTCTATATCATGGGATACATGATATCAGAAGTATTCATTTGCTCTTGGGTTAATACTCCTCTCCTGTCAACAAAGCAAAGTGAACCAGTCCCAAAAAGCCAATGGAGTCACTACTGGATTGATTCTTTTCTGAATTGATGCTTTTCTTTCTTGATGCCTTTCTTACAAGAAAACAAACAAGAACCTTTTCGTTTCTATGGAAGAATCTTTTTGTTTCTTTAGAAGATTTTTTATATATGTAGATATTTATATATAATCAAATGGAAATTAATTTGTTTTAATTAAGAAGATTTCTTATTTTGCTTCTACTATTAGAAAGAAAAGAAAAACATTTATTTAAACAAAAAATTATCAGGTCGTTGAAATGGTCCTTAAATTATAATTCTTCTCTTCTAATTCTCTTAGTACTCTTAATATCGGAAGATAAAGATGGGGTAAAGGAGAAGATTGAGTAGTACATCTAACCTGAAAATGATGTTTAATGAAACTTTTTACTTATTAAATACTTTTTTAAGCAAATATATAAAAAGTAATAGTTTTAAAAATAAAAAACTAAAGCATTCTTCCTCCATTTAAATTTAATTTTAATTTCTTTCTTAAAAATTGACTTTGAAAATTAGTTCAATAATTTTTAAATGTAGGAAAAAATTTCCAATTCTTTAATTTATTAACCAATTTAAATAAAAAAAAATATTTAATTTTTTTTTAATTTTTATTGAATTTCCACATAATTAAAAAATAAAACAGCTGCGCCAATTAACATTCGTAGATTTGCGGTGTTTGTTGAAAACAATTATTTATAATACAATATCAATTATATAAACAATTAAAAAAAATTATTAAAAATTATTTTCACTATAAATAAAAAATCACAAAAAAATTATTAAATTATATTCTTATCGAAAAAAAAAAATCTATTTAATTCCAGTAAATTTAATTGAAATCAATTAAGCAAAAATGTAAGAATATTTTTATGTCATTTAAATATATAGAAAAATACTAATAATATGTTTATGTAATAGCGCATATTCTTTTTTTTATAAATAAATACAAATATTTATACTTTTTTTTATATGTGAATTTTTTTTCTATAATAAAATTCGAATATTTGCGGTTATGATTTTTTCCGTTGCAAAAATAAAAAATTAATTTATTGCATTTACAAAAAAAAAAAAAATAATTTTAACTCTTGTAAAATTAGCATAGAAAACACTTATATTATAAAAAAATAGTATATTCATTATTATTATTATAATTATTTTAATTATTAATATTAATATTAATGATAATCAAATTTGCGGCTGTTGCTTTATGGTCAACGTGCATTTGCAGTTTTACAATTGAAATGATTTTTATTATTTATTTTTGTTTTTATTGTTTTTATTTATTTTACAGCTTATAAAATTTATTTAAAACTTTAATGTGTGTGTGTGTGTGTTTTATTAAATTTATTTTCATTAAAAATTAAAATTAAATATTTAATTTTGTATTTAATATCTAAATTGTCCCTTCTTCCCTCTTTCATTGTGGTAGACGCGTAGCGGCGAATAATTGCTGTTGCCATTGCCGTTGAGAGCGGCCCCAGCGCTGCCATTGCCTCCGGCTCCCGTTCCATTGGTGCCGTTGAAGTTCTGCGACGCCGAGCCGGCCAACAACTCCTCGACGTGTTGCGATTTGGCAGTACAACGAGGCGCCAATATCAAATTGTAAATAATGAAGTACACAACGGCGATTATGCAGGCCGTGATAGCCAACCAGGTGTAAATTTCCTCTGCTTCTATTTCAGGCTTTTTTTCATGACGTGCGAGCCCAATCATGGCACCAAAGCCCTTACCTGAAAATGTGCGGAAAAAAGAGTAAATAAATAAATTGTCTGCAATAATAATCTACAATATTGAAAGAAACTATATAAACTAGTAAGGGTCATGTCAAGGAAAATTGAATAACTAGTGCCTTCCACTTCTAAAAAAATTATAATCACTATGTTGTATTCAGAATTCTTGAAATGTTTCCAAAGATCCTTCTTAATGTATATAAAATACTAAGTCCTATATAATTAATATTACATAGGAGTTAGGTCAAAAACGCATCTGACCTTTCGATGAATTTCTGAAATATAAGTTTCCAGAACATTAATGACTAGATTGCAATTTTTTAAACTCCCTTGTCTTTGTAAAGCAAATCAAATTTTTAGGCAGACTCATCGCCATTGAGCATAAGACATCAGGCCTTACAACAACTTTCTGGATAGTGAATTTCCAAAAAGCATTATAAAGAATTAACTCTGATTAACTCAGTCCTGTAAAACTGACAGTACCCAAGGATTTTTGCCGAGCTCTCGAGAGAGCCGGGCAATTACACAGTAGATGCTCCACAGTTTCCTTTGCATTCGGGTTATGTGGTAGATTGCTTTAAATTTCTTATGATAGTCTTTGACTGGTACATAAAATTTCTATATAATAAATTTTCATTAAAACTTTTTCTCAAGTCGCACTTAAATGAATGCAGCTCCTAACTTCAATGCTTCCTGCTAACCTGTCTATCTATTTACAATACTCCTCCAACTCCTTACTTAAATAAATTTATCACATGAAACACTTTAAATTTTATACACACCCAATCCGAAGAAAGCCAACACAGCAATTGCCTGTCCGGTGGCAGTAAGTTTCCTTGGCATTACGTGTCGCATGTACAAAATTATTGCAATCCAAATAACTCCAATCACCAATGGCTCAATGGCCTCCATAACAATGGTTAACCACTGTGTTTCTTCGCCAGTAAGTGCAGTAAATCGAATGATAAACAAAGCGAAGCCAGCAATGAAAATATTCGAATGTCCGCAATACTCAATGAATTTGTCCACATTGAAGAATAACACAAATACCAAAATCAATCCAGCATATGTAACAGCTGAAGGATCGGTAAATGTCCAACGCAGGAAACTATGAATGCTGCTCCAGAACATACCGAACAGTATGGAAATGAGTGTCAATAAAAATATTTCTGGTCCATAACGACGTATTGCCGACATGGGATAAACCAACATGCCGGTCTTTGTGTGCCACCACCACTCAGGTGGACTTAATGGCATATTCGTTGGTAATAGTAGGACAATTGCACCCAAAACAAAGCACACAATAACCAAAATTAACGCTACCAGAGCAGCATCGTGCTCTGTAGATTTACTAAAGAAGAACAAATCAAGCGGCGAAAAGATTAGTACATAACCAATAGCACCCCAAGCGTATTGACGACAAACTTCACCGCGTCCTTCAGAGGTTTCACGTACCGCAATCACAATCATACTATTGAGCAAAGTTAAAGCAGCCATTGGGAAGATGTCACCCAATAGGCGTATTACAGTGTAACCACCCAGTGTTGTGTCCAAGTCACCGATTGTCTGAAAAGGCCAGAGTCATTTGAATTTATGTGCACAGCAGCAATAATGCAAACGGATGCTTACCTTAATGCATTCACTATCAGCCAACACGCTGTCCTCGCTGCCATACGGATCAATCACATGACACTCAATCATGGGTTTGCACTCGCCGTTCTTGAATTGCAACATGTAGTCCACCTGTTCAAGGGGGATTTGACATTGGAAGCCATCTGTAAGTACAAAAGTAAATGGGATAAAAATGTGAAAAACTTGTGCGGTTGCAAGTCAACTTGTGCTGCAAACGTTTCACTGTAAGGTTCAGTGGAATAAAATTGAGGATAAGAAAAAATTTAAAAAGTTTTTTTACACCAAAAAAATTTTTCAGTAAAAAGCAGTTAAGTGGAGTTTAACTCACCCAAAGGATAATTGCACCATTCAGCACTGTGAGTGTCATTCTCCACATTGGTTGCAGCTCGTAGTACGGTATTCACAACAATGTTTTTCGTGTCGTCTGTGTAGACATGGCATTTCTTCACTACGCTCTTGCCATTGTCATCCTTCTCAGTGATGCATAAATGTGGTGGTTCAACGTACACCTTACTGGGTGCTTTTTTGATAGCACGTGCTGTACGCACATGACGCGGTTCCTCTCCGCTCAACAGCTCACCGCCAAACTCCGACAACACTTCCGACACTTTAGCCGCACGCTTGGAACGTAAGCTCTCCGTAACGGCTCCAGTGGATTCATCTTCATAATCGGATTCGGAACTGTGATCGGCGGATGGCGATGGTGTGGGCACGTTTTCCAACCAAGGCGTATACAAATTCTCGTACTGAGTTGGATCTTGACAGGTATAAGTGCAGTTAGTCAGATTCACCTTACCAATCTTTCCTTTCCAGTGATGGCAGGTAGCATCTTCGGAACAACGTTCTTGAAATATAACAGCACCATTGACATCACAACCGAAGCTCACGCGTGGAAAATGTGGATCGTGTCGCTTTACTTCAGGTATTGCAAACAAGCAAGCATAAATGATGGCTGCCAAGATGAGAAAAATGGCGGTTAGTGTTCGCAAAACGACACTGTACCGAACCGAGTTCTTGGCTACCAAGCGATCGGCCAATGGACCAGCAATCAATGGGCCGATTATTGAGACAAAAGGTGCTATGATGCTAATATTGCGATATTCCACAAAGTTCAGCCCGAGTAGACGAGGTTTGATGGCATGTAACACATGGAGAGCGGTTATACCTAAAGGAAATGATAAATTAGCTTTATTGCAGGTATTATTACTTCTCACCGTACTTACCACTGATAACGAAGAATATCACAACTTTTAGCGATATTAAGCTCTTGTTCACACGTGGGTTATCACGTGTAGCACCCATTTTGAACTTAAATGCTTAGCGTTTGAGTATTTGGTTTTATGTGTGGGCGTATGTTAAAGTCTATAATTTTTGAGTAATTGAGTACTTTTTGTGGCAGGATTCGTTTCTGTGTAGTGAGTCAAAGCAGTGTTTTCGTTAATGACACTTTTTCATTATTTGTGTATCGAATTTCTGATTAAGAATTTCATCTGAAATCAAATAAAATTAAACTAAATTAGTTAAAAATACTTAAGGGTACGGATTAAAGAATCTGTTCGTTATATTCATTTTTAAATATAGGTATGCATACATATGTATATTTATATATATGCAGATTTTTTTTTTGGTATTGCAAAGACCGGCATTTTTATCTCAAAGTGATGTCTTTTTATTATATTCACATTCAATATACAATGATAATATTATAATACTTTAGTGCACTTATCAATAATCGAGACGTAAAGTTTTCGCTCAATAGATTCACTTTTTGTTGGATATTAGAAATAGATTAACTTCAATAAACTATCGGAAATAAACTAATTTCTCTATATGTCCTCTACAGTAATCATAGAAAAAAACGGGCAATGACCGTCTTAGGGTCATTTAAATTACCAGGTTTCTAATAGTTATCTTCTGTGACACAAAACTCTAGATCTCGCTTAATTAAATGATAACCTAGCTGGAACGACTAAATCTGTTTCAAGACAGTCACAGAATACGAGCGGATATGATTAGAATCTGCAGGTGTTAGCGTCTTTTAGTCCCATTTTTGAAAACTAAGTTGGGTGTTTGTAGTTAATAAATAATAAATAGTTAACAAGATCTAATCCAGTTAAGAATTAACAGATTAATGTTTGTATAAAGTTCAGTTAAGAATTAACAGATTAATATTTGTAAAAATATATTTATATCGCATACAAAATATTAACCATTTTATATTGTTGAAAAATTCAGTCAATGCTTCATACTTAGTCGTTAAGCATAAGTTAAGTTATTATAGAAACTTAAGTTGCGATCATCAATAAGTGATAGCTTGTAAATAAACATCAGTTCCTGTATGTATAGGTCTTTTAAGCTATTATTTATAAAAAAAATTTTTAGATGTGGCTTATGAAAGCTGACTAATTAATATTATTCCTACGTTAACTATCCAAAAACACTATCGCTTTAGCTTATATGTATATGTAGTATCTATTCCATTTATCTAAAGCAAATATTTCAAGAAGTATAGACAAATATTTCAGAAAATATAGTAATATTCTTATATTTTGATTTCTTACATATCTCACATTTAGTTGACTTACTTAAGTAAACTTTAAGGTAACCCTAAAAATTAATTTGATGAAACTGATAGATTGAAAAACACTTGTTGAAAATTTACAAACTTTTGAACTTTTATACCGAAAACTCTTCATTATATTTCACAGTAAAGAACTACGGAATTTCAATAGATTTGCAAACAAATAGATCAACTTACAAGACAATTCGATTTAACCTTTTAATAGAGTTGGCCTCCACACTAATCCACTTTTCATGGCTCAGATTAAATTTAAAACCAGCCACAGGAAATTATTGAATTGTGGTTTGTCGTTAGACAAAGTTAAGGAAAACGAAACGAAAAGTATGTTTATGCATTTACATTTACATTTACTTACATTCATACAAACTAACGCATGCACATCTCTGTACTTCTGTGTACTTATAAATGTGTATGCATAGCGAGGCAATGCTTTTGCAAAGGTAAAATCTGTTATTCTAACAAATCACAAATCACAAAACACACGTCAACTTAAATTGCAACAACAACTATGTCAGTCACCGAATGAGGTCTCTTAGTATTGATACAAGCAGAAGCATTGATAATGGCAAATAACAACAACAACTTCTTAAATTTTCACAGTCCATAGTGGCTGCGGAAGAATTAAAACGCAAACAAAGCAAACCCACAAACTGAAATGTTTAAAGCAACGGACGGACGAGTGAAACAATGTCAAGTTGAATTCTTATTAGCACAGAAAAACTTAAATTTATGTGAAACACACACACAAGCACACGAACACGCATGTGGAGTTATATGCAAATAATATACGCACAATTTTTTTATTCACAATTACAACAAAGAAATTATACCAACAAAAAAAAAAAGGGAAGTATTATTTGCTAAGAATAAGAGTAGCAAGCGATAAACAACACAGTATACGTTTAATGAAGATAACGGGGAAGGGTAAACTTTCTACAGTAAATTAATTGTCAATTAAACTGGCGGTGGCCCCACACACATTTTGGTGTACGCATACACACACTCACACACATACTCACGCATTTGAGCGCAATTGTTAATGTGTGTCTTTTCAGTGGATCATGGGGTGTCTGTGTCGGTGTCAGTGTCAATTTAATTACATTTTACACCAAAATTAACAACTACAATAACAACAATGCACATGAATTAGGTTACAATGATACAATAACAATTACAATTAAAATGACAACAACAAGAACAACAACAACAACTGCTACAAAACCGACTTCAAAGCGAATTAAGAAAACATCACTCAATTAACATAACATTTTTTTTCGTACCCGTAGCTGTCATGTGTTGTTGTTGTTGTTTTTTTCTTTATGTTAACTGTTAATTATCAAAAAAACACTCATGTTTTTATTTATTAAAATTTAACAGCAAATAAAAAAAAAACTCTTTTTTTCATTATTCACTCTTCATTGTTCAAAAGCACATCGGTTCCATTTGACAATTTTTATTTAAGAAATTCTCACGCATTTATTAAACCAATTTTAATAATTAATAATTAATTTTGGTCTCATTAAGCGGGTTTAATTTTAGCCTTTAATATCCTATCAGTACATTATACAATCCCCCGGAACCTCACCGACATATTTTACTCTCTGTATTCATACATAAACTCAGCGGTGGCAAGACGTAGACTTCATTACCTTGGAAGCGAGATCTTAGTCCCAAATCAAAAAGGTAAAATTAACCCCTCAGCTATTAGGAGATTTATAAATAGTCAAGAATTGTTTTAGTGACCTCTTAGGCGCACAATAGATCCCTTGGGTTGGGCTGTATTCATAGCCTATTATTAAATAATAATAATAATGAAATAATGAAACCCAATTTAATGAAGTCGTAGAGTTACGAACATAAGTTTTAATTTAAATGATTCTATTCTGCAATCAAAACTTAAGTCTCAATAATGACTTAAGTTATACTTAAATTAACCTTTTTGCTTGATTAATTAATACTTAAACCAGATTTAAAACTAAAGTTACGCGGTGAAATCGGTCCTAATAGTTTTAACAGTTTTGCATAATCTAAAATTGGTTTAGTTAAGAAACAATATAAGCACTTCATGGGATTTAAATTAAAACTAAATTAAGTGATGCTTAAATTATTTGTTTTCCTCATTTAATTCATACTTTATTAGTTTCGAAACTTAAGTTACAAATATGAAATCGTTTCAAAAAGCCGTAACAGTTAAGCATAATCCAAAATTAGTTTAGCTATGGAACACCATGCGCACTCCATGGGATTGAAATCAATACTGACTTAAGTCATTATTTTTGCTGACTTAATTCAAGCTAAAATCAATTTTAAAACTTAAGTTACTACTGTGAAATTGTCTCTAATTAGTTTAGCTACCGAGCAATCATGAAACTAAGGTCAATTTTGGCATAAGTAATGCTTAAGTAATTATTTTTGCTAACTTAAATCGTATTTAAGTCAGTCTCGAGACGTAACTACTAAAATGGTTTTAATAGCCTAATATAAGCACTTTATTTAATTGAAATCAGATTATGATCATATTGAATGTGAATCGATCTTTTTGCTTAGAAAAAAATGTCTATAATGGAAAGCACATAATGGAAAATTTTAGAAATAATGCGATAGTTGGCTTAGTGGACAGTAGCTGACGAAAAGTGTTCAAAGTAACAAAAATCATAAATCATAAACGTCAGAAATATAGTATGGACACACTTCTTGGCCGATCTCATCGCTGTATAAAACTGAAATGGATTTAAAGACCTTTAAAAATAGTTTAAAGATACTATCTGTAGATGAGAAAATTTTTTAGTTCATTTCTTTTTCTTGATTGTTGGATTACTTTATTAAACAAATTATGTGTACCTATAAATAGCTAATGAATCTGGTATCGACATCAAAGGCTTTCTTCAAGTATTTAGTTCTCTATACTTCTTACATAAAATTTTTTTTCATATGTTAAAGGATCATGTAGAATCGTCATCGATCTATTACATTCAGGTGCAAGTCATGACTTCATGGCTCCTCTTCTTATTGATTTTTCAAAGTATAATATTAATACTTGGGCATAGTCAGGGAGGACGGTAGTTTACATAAAACTGTGCCCGAAGTAATATTTCACAAAGAATAGAGGAGCTATGAGGTCATGTGCTCATTACATGCTTACAAATGTAATAGATCGATGTTGATGATATGAATATATCAGTAAACGAAGAGCAGATTTTCGAGTTTATGATTTTTTTTTAATCTTCGTTAACATATAAGCAAAACTTTATGCTTATTTAATGTTAAATATCCTTTTTTTATAAGTTTCCAATAAAAGAATGGATTCATTTTAAAATGTTGTCCTTTTGCCAAGGTTCTTAGGTTCGACAATTGATCCAAGTTTTTAAGCGACATAAAGATTGTAGAGAGCGATTTCAGTAGAGAGTGCTTTAACAAGATTTTCCATATTTGGCAACTTATGTAAGTATTAAGTCTATTTTTATATTATGTATCTTCTTTGGTGTTTTCTTTAATATTTTTTGCACCTCATTACGATAGGATAGAGCGTGAAAATGTTATTACTCTGCATGTTCCATTAGTTTTACAAACACTCCCTCCTAACAGTAGACCTGAGTAACTCAATCTCATAGAGTTTCAGTACTTCACTTTTGTTACAAATGAAGTGTTAATTTGATTTCAGTTCTCAACAACCAAATTGCATTTAATTTATCTTTTTTAAATAATTACCCAAGAAGAAATACTAATTAAATTTGAATTAAATTCGTTTCTTGTACTTTTTAGTTGATTTTGGATACAAGCTCAGCATCCAAATCACAGATGTGTAAATTAAAGTTACATAAATCACAGCAACAACAAAAGGAAAAGACCTTGCAAGAGGTCATAAATCATTCATGAGATGTACGAGTGATGTATTTAAATGCTTGTTTA